CACACTTTTTCCTTATCTATTAGTCCACATGACTAAATGAAAATTTGATGCAGATTCCAATCCCAGTTAATGAACATGTTCTGCATCTTTCAATCTGTGTACCCCTGATCAGAAACATTCCCCGAATCCTGCCTGGAAATCTAAGGGAAGTATGAAGGCAGGCTTCGGGGAATGTTTCTGATCAGGGGTACACAGATTGAAAGATGCAGAACATGTTCATTAACTGGGATTGGAATCAGAATTTCCAAATAAATAAACAAATAAAATTTAAATTTACTATACATACCACATTATAGCAGAAAATCTGAGTTTGAAAACTACATTGCAGTAGTACAGCACAAAGTCCGAAATCCGGACGTCCATTATCCAGAATGATCTAAAATCTGGACCTCAAAGCCACAAACTTTTTTTTTTTTTGTTGCTTTACGCATGCACATTTTATTTTTACTTTCATAATAAAACATGTGGAGATTTTCACTTAAACATTCCGATTTTAAATTTCACTTAAGCACTAAATAAAATACCTCGTTATATAAAAACAATCATGTAAGCATAAATTTGTGAGATTAATAATTTGGCTCCGTAGCTTAGTATTTGCTTAGGATACATCTCAAACCGAAACATTCACCTATTTTATATCCCTGACGCCAACCTGGCAAGTCATTATTTATTACATTTTGCTTTCATCACAGCATGTTTATCAATGCATGACAACTTCAGTAATAACTCATGCAGTGATGTCTACACTTTTTTTTTTTTATATTAGTATTTGAATAACAAGAGTATGGCAACCTTTTATGCTAACATTATGCTTGGCAATGATTATAGGTTTTTAAATGCTCTAAGAAATGTTGACGAGGAAAAATTCAAGAAAAATTTTTCATATGCTAAAAATAGATTTTGTTAATGAAACTCACAGGCCAAAAGATTACATTTAGTGCTATTTTAATTAAGAATATCTGATATGTTATTCATCATAAACTCAGAAGCAGCGGCAGAATTTAAAGAAGATAAAATTTTTGGAATTTGGAAAAGCACTTAGTGGCAAAATTAAGGGATGTTTTTTATAACTTAGAGAAAGCACTGGATCCAAAATTTAGAACTTAGGAAGGTGCAATTTAGCAGAATTTAGGACTCGCAGAGACTGCACTGGCAATATCTAGTGTCTGCTCTAGATAAAGCTCAAGTATATGTGGGAGTTTATTTATTCAGGACTCATATTATTTTTAAGCATGTGCAAGAAATAAACATAGATATAGTAAATAACTAAACTAATACAATTCAGGCTTAATTTCAGTAAGCAATAGAAGCAAGACAAAATTTAGCGGTACAACTTGGCTTTCGTCGCCAATCTTGTCATACACAACCAATGTATAATGGACGCAATTAAGTTAGGCTAAAATTATCTTTACTGATTCTAAAGCATTTCAGTTAATATAGCAGACTGTGCTGCTCCTTAAACTTCATATTTGATTCAGCTTATTGTTTTTTGCAGACTTATTATTAGAGCAATTTTATAAAAATTAAGCTTGAACTTTCGATTATGTCGAAAAGGGTTTCCAATTCTGGAGCTGCCAAAGGATCTACAAAGGGAAAGCATGTTTCCATGTCCATTAAACAAAAAGTGAAATTGCTGCAAAAAATGGATCTGTTTCAAAATTATGCGAGGAGTATGGCATTGGAAAGTCAACTGTATGTGACATGAGAAAAACGAAAACGGAACTTTTTGAATTTTTTGCGTATTCTGACACTCCACTTGCAATGAATAACAGAAAAAGTGTTTGTTATGCTAAAAGTGACGATGATGACAAAGTGATGATTGAATAGATCAGCAGCGTTGCAGCAAGGGAGTGCCACTGACGAGTCCAATGGCTCAAGCCAAAATATTTCATGAAGAAATGAATTTAAACACCCAATATGCACATATTCGCAGGTTGGTTAACCAAATTAAAAAATCGCTATGGTATAAGACAATTAAAAATTTCAGGAATGTGGAGAAACGGTAATAAATGAAGATGTAATAGAAGTTTTTCATTGCGATGACAATGCCCTAATCATCAATCAACGGACAGCGAAATCTGTAGTATGGTTCTACATCCAGAAAATACTGGTACCAACAGTGAAGAAAGTGACAGAGAGGTGAAAATGAAAAAGTTCTGATTGACAAGTTAGTTGGTATTCTCGACACAGCAATTACAGGAATTGAACAGTGGCACTTAATAACTCAACAAGAAATTATATGTCTATAGTACTAGTCTAAAGTATCAGCAGAGAAAACAAATCAAACACATCACATTGAAAGAAATGTTTAATAAAGTAAATAAATAAATATGGTTTTTTTTTTTTTTTTTTTTTTTTTTTTTGTAAAATTTGATACCCTTTAGATCATAATTGCTCTTTATTTCATAAATTATGGTTTCATATTTTTAATTGTATAATTTCTGCATGCCATCTTACCAGATTTAAATTAATGATCTATAATCCGGAAAAATCCCAAATCTGGAATCATTGAAGTCTTGATGAGTCCGGATTTCGGACTTTGTACTGATATTTTATTAAATTTATTACTGGTTATCCCACTTATGGACTTCAAACTTTAGTCTTAGCAAGAAAAGAGATTTAAGACAGGAAATTCTGTTATTTGTACACAAAATTAACATTACATCATTTTTTGCTGATGACATGTTGCTAAATATATTGGCATATCTTTCAGATGTATTTTCAAAATTAAATACACTAAAGCTCTGTCTAAAAGGCAATTCTTTAACTGTTCTCAGTGCCCATGAGGAAATAAAAAAGTTGAGGGGAAACTTGGTTCATGGATTAGTTGTGTAAAACAGAAAATCCCCCCTCCTCATTTTCAACATAGAAACTATTTCAATAAAAAATGATATGACTATTAGAAAAGAAAACAAACTGTCATTAAATGAAACAGAATAGCTTCAAATAACACCACAATTAAAATGAAAATTCCAAGCAGAAGGCATAGCAATTTCTGGACCTTGTTACAGTAAAAATAGAATATAGTCAACTGAACAATGATGCATTAAAATTATGTATTTCCCTACTAACTCAAATAAAAACAAAGTATTGAAATCAAGTTAATTTATATTCTCAGACTCAAGTTTACAGCACACACAAACCTAGAACAGCTGTGCAAGAATTAGCAGGCTCATCCATTTCATTAATATGAGTACCAATATTTATTTAAATTTCAGTTAATAAGAAAAAGATTATTTAAATTCTAAAACCCCCTGAATTACTGAAAATGAATATAAAATTAAACAAATTTAAATTGCATTTTAAAAATATAAATATACTTGCAGTAACGTAAGCTCAAAAAGTTACTTTTGAAGGAAATAAAGTCATCTAAAAAACAAAAAACATTCTAATTTGTAAAAGCAGTCTTCAGCTTAAAAAAAATCTGAAGGCTTTCAAATTTTATACAGTACAAAGTCCGTAATCCGGACTTATCGGAACTTCGGCGATTCCGGATTATAGATCATCAATAATTTAAATCTGGTAAGATGGCATGCAGAAATTATACAAATAAAAATATGAAACCGTAATGTATTAAATTAAGATCAATTATGATCTAAAGGTTATCAAAATTTACACACACACACACAAAAAAAAAAAAAAAAAAAAAAAAAAAAAAAAAAAAAAAAAGTTTATTTTATTAAACATTTTTTTTAATGTAAGTTGTTAAAGATGCTTCGTTTTTTTGTGCTAATACTTTCTCTTTAATTCTATGAACAGAAATAATTTCATTTTAGTTACAAAGTTCCATTGTCGGAATCCACAAAAAATTCCTTTTGCTTATGTCATATACGGTTGATTTTCCAATGTCATACTCCTCGCATAATTTTGAGACAGATCCATTTTTTAAATTCAATTCCACTTTTTGTTTGATGGACATCGAAACATGCTTTCGCTTTGTAGATCCTTTGGCGGAATCGGAAATTCTTTTTGATATAATCGAAAGTTCAAGCTTACTTTTATATAATTGCTCTAACAGTCAGCAAAAAATAATAAGCCGCATCCAATTCGAAGATTAAGGAACAACGCAATCTGCAACATTAACTGAAATAGATAATTAGATAATTTTAGCCTAGCTTATACCATCCGTTATATATTAAACGCACATGCATAAAGCATAAAAAAAAAAGTTTGTGGCTTTGAGATCCGGATTATAGATCATTCTGGATAATGGACGACCAGACTTGGACTTTGTACAAAATTAATTTTTTGCCTAAAGAGAACGTTTTAATGTTTTATGTGCTACCTTTACTTTTTTAATATCATGTACTTCACACTTAAACCATAAAATTCAATTCAACAGCAACATCACAAAATACTTTAAAGAGCATATCCTGAGAATATCCAAAACACAGTCTCGCGCTTGGTTATAAAAATATTTGTCTCCCCCAATAGAGTGTTGCCAATATCGCTTCGAAATCGTTGAGTTTCTTAATAAAATTTCTTTAATGTCTGACGAAATATGAAAAAGATAATAAAACTAATTCCAAATTAGGGCTTCCAAATGCACATATTTGATGGAGGTTTACATTATTCAAAATTAGATTGCTCTAGGTACCGTAGTTTTTTCACAATGCGGGAAACATGCATACATTCATGCAGATTCTTCATTATTTCATTTCTTTAAATATGATGTAGGGCGATAATATTTGGTGACAACCATCTGAAAAGTGAAACGGACAGTTAGAGTTGTTTATGCAAAATGCCAAAACGAAATCAATAGCCCCTTCTGGGCTAAAGATAAGAGAGAAAGAGACGTCGGATTAGCTGCATGGGTATTTTCAAAATTTACTCTAAGTGTAACATGAATTCAAGCCAATTACATTTCAGTACAGATCCAGCATGTAATTTTTAGTGTAAGAGGAAACAAAAATCTAAAATGAATTCTAGTTTATAAAATTTATGTCCTAATTGGCAAAAGTTAAAAAAAAAAAACACTCAACAATACATGCAATGCTTGCCTTTTGAACTTAAGATCTTGATACGTCTTCTTTTCTACATCAATGAATAAGTCTAAAAAATAAAAATAAATTTTACATTTATTCATCATATAAAATACTTTTTCATTTATGTACATTATTTTAAGCAAAGGTGTTTTAACTACAAAATAGATAGAAAACAATAGTAAAGTACTATAATATAAGATGTGGCATTTTTGAAAAAAATTTCAGAAAAAGTGACACAAGAAATTGATACACTGAAAATGCTTTATAACAAAAATATTAAATGATCTAAATAAATAACACTCCTGAGGTTAAAATAAGAAAATATGTCTTTAAAAAAATACAGGTTACGCAATATAGTTTTTAAATGTTAGTTTATACATACAATGATAGTTGTCAGGAAGTTATTAATAGGAATGAATCCTATACCGGAGTCATAAAAGATGATTTTGCATTGGATTCAATGAAAAACTGTTTCTTTTAACATAAGAAAATTTCATATTAATTTAAGATTTCTTATTAAAATATGTATTACGAATTAAAAATCGGGCATATTAATATACTTCCTTTCTAACACATCTAAAGCTTATTAATCCTTCTAAGGACCATATGGAGTAATTACAAATGCTAATAATCATTAACTTCAGTACTTTCTTATTATCTGCATACCTACCATTAAGTTGTGAAAAAGTATTCGCGAAGCAAAGCAGTATGTCACTAACATGTCTGTTCTGGCTGACGTGTAATGTCAAATGTTTATTGATGCCAAATTTTTTTCAATTCAAATTTCCATTCTCTCAATTTTTTAAAGTGAAAATTGATCAATACATGGGGAGTACAGGAGAAAAAAAAAAGGGGGAGGAGTTTTGGAAAAAAGGTAAGTACTTTATTCCCGATGTTTTTGCTTTTCAATTTTATTGACAGAAAGCTCTTGTATGGAATTCTCAGTGTGCTGCCAATTGAAAGTGGTGATTCCCTTCTACATATTACATTGAGAAAAATTAGTGAACTTTCTGGTGAGGGCTGAAAATAATCAAAAAGAACCTTATCTTTTTAAATTATGAACATTCTGAATTTATTTGATGCTATGTAAACAGCAATTAAAAATACTGGTCTGTGTAATTACGGCGATAAAAATGCAAAAATGTATACAATTTCCTGTCCATTCTCTCATAAAGTAATAGTTCCATCAAAAGATAAAACAAAATTCAGAGACTTATATGGTTAATAAAAACAAATCAAAATTATCAGGTACTAATGTATTTTTGCGGCCATGAAAGGTGGCACAGGTATCATGAAACAAACTTTACGATGAAAGTTTAAAGGCACAAACAACTTTTTAGTTGGTTATATCATCGTACTTATGTATTGATTCAACCACTTTGGCACAATATGGCAGTCAACCGAAGAAAAGGTAAAAACTACTTATTGGGTACAAATTAACAATTTTCACAACCCTTTATTGAAAAAATTCCGAAGCTATCAATATTTACCGTAAGTAGGAAAACATGAACAATATATCAAAACACAAAAATTAATGTGAATTATATGATACATTAAAAAAAATCATGAAATCCTTGTCTAATTTTTTAGGTACTTTTCCGTTTTGCTGACGCAGGTGATAAAGTTGCCAATAATGGTACAACTGATGCCAAATGGAATATCTTCGCAGGTAACCTTTTAAGTCTCATCTTCAAAACAAGTTGCAGCCATTTCTTATCAGATTGATTGTTTCTTTCAATACTGGCATACAATTACATAAAATTTTTACCCAGAATTCAGTTTTATGTCCTAGGGGCCATTCGCGGTAATTAAGTTGATTAGGATGCAATCACACCACTCACCCGAAGGTGAAACTATAGAAAAGGGTTAAATTCATCAATTCTAATGCGCATGCACTAGTGAAGTACAGCACTGCGGTTTTACATAATTTCTGAGTAACCAATTGTAAGAATTAATTCCTGCATTTAAACTTGTATTCCAAATTAAGATTTAACTTGAAATTAATGTAGATAATTACTGAGAGAATTAGATTTTTGTAGCGTAGTTTACGTGAGATGAGATCACTTGGGGTCACATGATGTGAACCGGCGTATCAGGTGTTGAATCATGAAAGCATAGTAAATTCTTAAATTAAAATCTCTTTACAAATTTGTTGTCTTTATTTATTGGCTATACTAAAATGTTTATGCCTTCAACATGAAAAATTTTTAGAACTAACATTTGTTAAAACTTTTTATGTTTTTTATGTTTATGTACTCGTATATGGTATGTTGTCGCCAATAAAGTCTGCTTGGCGAGATTTGCTCTGGCGAAACGGAAAAGTAACAATTTTTTAGTGCTGTTCCTTTCGTGTACACAGAGATCTGTTTAAAAGAAAAAAACGAATTGCACAAACTCAGTATTGCACACTGGATATCCATCAAACCCATCTCATCTCGTTCCTTTCAGCTATTTTACAGTAAATACTGCATTCCCGCAGTTTCTGCTCTCAAATTCGACATGCACATACTTACGTGAATTGAGCAGAAGGCAAAAAGTATCATAATTAGTTGATAAAAATAACTGGAACTTAAAATACAAAAAGATTACACATGAAAATGGCGACATTGATTGGTTATGAACATGGTTGCCAGAGTTTAAAAATTTGGCAACTTCTATTTAACCCATTAGCCGCTGGTGTTGTGTTGACGCAACAGTCAAAATAAATGCATATAATTACCTAAGATATTTTATACCAGCCGATGATTTTGTGTAGGGAATATGAAGAAGATTATTTCTGTAAAAAAATATTTGCCTTCAACAATCATTTTGTTTATAATAATTAATCTCATACTTTAAGCAAACTTTTCGACTGGGTATTTTTGCCAAAAATATTTAACGAAAGAATCGCCGTCTTTATGAGTGATCTATTTTTAGTCAATCTTACCGTTTATTAGAACATTACATCAATCAGATGTTTATATTTGTGTTGGAAAGGAAGGGAAAACAGGTGTTGTACTGATGCAACGTCAGCAGGAAACCGGTAATCTCCTTTTTTACTCATTTCCTTTCGATGTTCTGCCTACTTGTTCTGCTGTGTAAAAATGCCTAGTACAAGGTATCTTACATTAGAAGAAGCCCTTCAAAGATTTTTTTGAAGAAACAGATGATGATAATATTAATAAATGACCAGAATGAAACTGATATTGCTGCTGTTCCTCAGAAATTGCAGAAGCTAGTGATGAAGAAGAAGGGAATGGCAATGTTTTAAATAATAATATTTTACCAAATGATACTGCTGGGGAAGTTGAAATTCAGGTAATAAGTAAGTTTTAGCCTTCTAAAAGCAGTGGTAGTCATACGAAAAAGTTTAAAAAGCAGAAAATTGAAATGGATAAAAAAGGAACCATCAGTTATGTCTCAGGGAAAAAATGAATAAAGAAATAGTAAAACTATTGGAGAGATTTTCGGTTTTCTTTTTCGTTCAGACATTTACTCTGTTCTCGTTGAACAGACAAATGTATATGCTCAGCAGAGAGGGGGGGGGACAGAATTTATTGCATTTGAATTTGAAGCCTATATGAGAAGATTTATTGGAATTTTATTGCTTATGGGATATCATTCTTTACCTCAAGAAGAAATGTATTGGTCTCTTGATAAGGACATTTCTGTTCTTATTGTGCGATAATCAATGTCATGTTTGCTACAGGAATATGAAGCAGAATTTGCATTAGCTGATAATAGTCAAACTGACAATATTGGTAAATTATATAAGGTGAGACCATATCTAAACTTACTAAATAAGAAATTCCAACAATTTGGTATATTTTCCCTCGATTTGAGTATAGACGAGCAAATGATTCTTTATTGAGGCAAACATTCAGCAAAGATGTTTTTAAAAGGGGAACCTATAAGATTTGGATACAAAGCATGGACTCTGGTATCATATGATGGATATGTGTTTCATTTCGATATTTATTCAAGTAAGTCGACAGCTCCAAAATTACCAGAATATGAAGAATTTGGGCTTAGAGGAAGTAGTGCGATAAATTTGCTCAGTGTTGTTGAAACTCCCGCCAATCATGTTATTTATTTTGATAACTTTTTTACATCATTTCAGTTTCTCTGTCATCTAAATAAAGGTTTCAGTGCTACAGGAACAATTCAGGGAAACCACATACAAATATGCTCACTAGAAACTGTGAAATGTGTCCATAAGGCTGCATTTGGACGGCGGCGTAAAGGGCATAGAGGTATAGTCATAAGGGTATAAAATACGGGAGTTCCGTTCACACCTGCGACAATGGGGTGTAAGCCGTGGCCAATGAGAGAAGCTAAATTTGTGCATGCCTGGATGTGTCTACAACTTTCCTGCGCTGTTGTCCTGCTCGATTGATTTACCGCGTTTGCTCTGCTTGTTTTGTAACAGTGAAATCTTCCGCAGAATCGTTCTGATTGGTCAATGCTTATTCCAAACTCGGCGTAAAGCTGAAAACTTTGAACCCTAAACCAGATTTTGTGACGTAGTGCAGACTGGTTGCCTTGGCAACGGAGCTCGGCTTTAACCACTTATGCAGTTTACGCCCCCGTCTGAACGCAGCTTATGCAAGATAGGTGTTGTTATGATTTCCAGTATGAAGAGAAAAACAAAATAATGTTTGTTTGATGGAACAACAATTCGGTTGTAACCGTTGGTTCAACATTTGGAAACATTCAGCCCATAAAAATGTTTCCCTTTATTCAAAAACGTAAAGAAAAAAGGTTTTATATCTCAGCCTCACACGGCTTTCTACTACTGGAAACAAAAAGTCTCTTTTAGATTTCAGACGCAAGATTGCATTATTCCTTTTGCAAACTCCTATTGAGAGTGTAGAACTAGCCAGAAATAGATCAGCAACAGGAAGACCTAGTAAATTTATCAGGTTCAATGTTTCTTCTAACTTTCTTCGGAAACATACAATGACCTGACTAGAACAGAGAGCTTACTAAAGCTATGTTCACTAATTGTAGTAAGTGGACAGGATACAGACGAAGGGTATACAAAACCCTTTATTTTTTTCTTTATATACAATGACTTCCGTACTTCGG